GGTATATTAGTTGCATGATAGTGATCCCAGAAGGAGAAGAGAGACAAAAGGGGGCAGAAGATTTATTTGAAGAAATAATAGCTGAAAACTTCATGAATCTGGGGAAGGAAGAGAAATCCAGATCTAGGAAGCACAGAGAGCCCCCAACAAAACCAACCCAAAGAGGTCTGCACCAAGACACGATGTAAATAAGATAGTACTAAAGAGAGAATTTTAAAAGCAGCAAGAGAAAAGAAAGCAGTTATATACAAGGGAAACCCCATAAGTTGATCAGTGGATTTTTCAACAGAAACTTTGCAGGCTGGAAGGGGGTGGCATGATAGAGTCAAAGAGCTAAAAGGAAAAAATCTGTAGCCAAGAATATTCTATCAGGCAAGGCTTTCATTCAAAATAGAAGGAGAGATAGAGTTTCCCAGAAAAAAAAAAAAAAAAGTTAAAGGAATTCATGACCAGGAGCAAAACCAGCCACATCCCCATCACACACAATGCCATTGGCCTGTGGGTCCCAAATCCACAGTCCAGCTGCCCTCCTGCCCAAGTCAGCATGCACTTCCTGCCATGTGCTCAATGCCAAGGCAACATGCCTTCACTTCAGATTGACAAGGACTCAAACTGACACTCTCCACCTCAAATTCCAGCCCCTATGCTCAAGTTTGTGCACAAAAGTGGGCATAATTATAACAGCAGAATGAAGCAACCCAGTGACACTAATTCTGTGGAATATATAATGGATAAAAGGAGTGTACTAGACTGAGAACATCTCCAACAAGCACATCAAAGAACAATACATACAGCATGATTTTGGTTACTAAAAGAAACAAACCCAGGAAAAATAAAACAAGACGGAGTCAGAGAGGGAGACAAGCCATAAGAGACTCTTAATCATAGGAAACAAACTGAGGGTTGCTGGAGGGAACGGGGGTAGAGGGATGGGGTAACTGGCTGAGGGGCATTAAGGGGAGAGCACATGATGTAATGACCACTGGGTGTTATATAAAACTGATGAATCACTGAACTCTACCCCTGAAACTAATAATACACTATATGTTAATTAATTGAATTTAAATTTTTAAAAAGTCCAAAACTGAAAAAAATTCATATCTACAAAATTTTATTTGGAAAATATGTAAAGAAAGAAAATGAAAAATGACCAACTGGGAATAAGATTTGCAACTTAATCTCAAAGAGTTAATATTTCTAATTAATAAATAGCTTTTAAAAATAGACAAGGAAATGACCAAGTTTTTATAAAAATTGGTTGCATTATGAACAGTTTACAGAAAAATAAATACAATGGGTCTCAATCATATGCTCAAATGTTCAACCTCCCCTATACTCAGAAAAAAGCAAATGAAAATACACTATATAGGTGTTTCACACATATCTATGTGATTGACAAAATCAGGTTCCACAATATACCTTGTTGAGGTCCTTAGGGAAATGAACACTTTCACCCTTTGTTGGTAGGAGAGCAAATTAGTACAGTCTCACTGTAGAGGAGAATGTGTCAATATTTAGGAAAAAATGCATATAAATTTACCCTTTAACAAAGCAATCCCTAATCTCAGAATCTACCACCAAAATAGGCAAAAAAATGAAAAACAATTTTCAAAAGGCTATTCATATACTTCTTAGACTGTTAGACAAGATATTTTAAGAATATCTATATTATGGAATAAAGCAAATGAATCATCCTAATGGTATCATTAAGAACAAGGATTTTCCTCATGAAAGGAGGTAGAAGTGTAAGTGTGCTGAGATTAATAAAAAAATTGTAGTCCTGAATTTCAATTGGAGGTAGCAGTATGAATTTTTAATGAATTTTATCTTACTCAAAAAACAAAAATCCTGTACACACACTGAAAAGACCTAGATCCATTGACAGGCAGTAAGCATGAGGTTGGTTGATATTTAAATTATTTATATAATAAATATTTAAATTTCATATATATACACACACATACACACACACACAAAGAAATGTCTGCCCTATGAGATACTAATGTGTAGTCTGAAAAGGAAAAATACAAATTCAAGCAAATTTGGGAAATTGTGAAATTTCTTCTTACAGATTATAATTTTTCTCATAACATTAAATGCTTTGGAAAAGTCTGTCAGTAAAGAAATCTAAAAATATATAATGCAGTGTCTATCAGGAACCTTTTATTTTGCAGGGGAAAGGTTTGGGGTTGTAGAATTCCTCTTGTTTGTTCACTATAGAAATGTGCCATAGAAAACAATTTGGGAAATACTGCTGTGAAAGTGAAATACAATCTGTGGATAATTATTCTTCATAAAGGATCAAGAGGTCTAGAGAGAGTTCTTGGTATCATGTGCTTAATGAATGCATAATTTAATACAAGTATTGTCTAGAATCTACTAACTACTAAATGCTGTGTTTGCTGTTGGGGATATAAGGGGAAAAAAAGAAAAGAAAAAATTCTGGGAAACTGGTAGAACATTAAAATATAGTGCTACTATTAATTTTATAATAAAGATTTGAAATTTTTCATGAAAATCCTTAAATGTGATTGAGGGACTAAGTGTAGGCAACCATTGCATTGCACCAGGGAGAGAGAATTAAGTTGTGATGAGTGACAGCAGGAGGCAGGATGTTTCCAGCAAAGTCAAGAGCATGAGCAAATATAACTTAACATTAGAGTTGATGGTGTTTTCAGGAAAAAAAAAAAAAAGTACTGTATCTGTCTGGAACAACAACAATAACAAAATTATAGGGAAAGGTTTGTGTAGGGTCAATGTAGTAAGGAGAATGTGGGCTTTGGGTTTGGACAAATCTGAGCTGTCATAATCACTCTACTTGTTTTTTTGTTGTTGTTTTGGTTTTTGTTTTGTTTTTTTTTTTGAAATGTGCCATTTATTTTATTTTTAATTTTTTTTATTATGTTAATCACCATACATTACATCATTAGTTTTTGATGTCATGTTCCATGATTCATTGTTTGTGCATAACACCCAGTGCTCCATGCAGAACGTGCCCTCTTTAATACCCATCACCAGGCTAACCCATCCTTCCACCCCCCCTACCCTCTAGAACCCTCAGTTTGTTTTTCAGAGTCCATTGTATCTCATGATTCGTCTCCCCCTCCGATTTCCCCACCTTCATTCTTCCCCTCCTGCTATCTTCTTCTTTTTTTTTTTCTTAACATATATTGCATTATTTGATTCTGAGGTACAGATCTGTGATTCAACAGTTTTGCACAATTCACAGCGCTCATCATAGCACATACCCTCCCCAGTGTCTATCACCCAGCCACCCCATCCCTCCCATCCCACCCCCCACTCCAGCAACCCTCAGTTTGTTTCCTGAGATTAAGAATTCCTCATATCAGTGAGGTCATATGATACATGTCTTTCTCTGATTGACTTATTTCGCTCAGCATAACACCCTCCAGTTCCATCCATGTCATTGCAAATGGCAAGATCCCATTCCTTTTGATGGCTGCATAATATTCCATTGTATATATATATATATACCACCTCTTCTTTATCCATTCGTCTGTCGATGGACATCTTGGCTCTTTCCACAGTTTGGCTATTGTGGACATTGCTGCTATAAACATCGGGGTGCATGTACCCCTTCAGATCCCTACATTTGTATCTTTGGGATAAATACCCAGTAGTGCAATTGCTGTATCGTATGGTAGCTCTATTTTCAACTTTTTGAGGAACCTCCATACTGTTTTCCAGAGTGGCTGCACCAGCTTGCATTCCCACCAACAGTGTAGGAGGGTTCCCCTTTCTCTTCATCCCCACCAACATCTGTCGTTTCCTGACTTGTTAATTTTAGCCATTCTGACTGGTGTGAGGTGGTATCTCATTGAGGTTTTGATTTGGATTTCCCTGATGCCGAGCGATGTTGAGCACTTTTTCATGTGATTGTTGGCCATTTGGATGTCTTCTTTGGAGATATGTCTGTTCATGTCTTCTGCCCATTTCTTGATTGGATTCTTTGTTCTTTGGGATAATCACTCTACTTGTAAGTGGTCTTGGGAAGTAAATTAATCTCTATTAAGGCTGACCTTTCCTATCTGTATAGTGAGGATAAATAATATTTAACTCACAAAGTAAGAATGAAATAAAAATAAAGTATACAAAGTTTCTAACACAGTGAAGGGCATTTAATATCAGTTATTATTATTATTAGGCAGATTGGGGCAAAGTGATGAGCATCCTCATTTGTCAGGGGAAAGAATTTGAATTTTATTCTGTGGGCAATAAAGAACCATAGAAGAATTCTGAGCATGAGTGTGAGGTGATAAGCTCTGTTATTTGGAAAGGTGAATATGGAGGAATGAATAGATGAAGGAAGGCATCTAGCATTGCATCCCGATGAAAGATGAGAAGGGCATAACGGGACATTGATAGTGTGGCTACAACTCAGTGTTACAGAGCTAGAATTGATAGAACTTAGCTCCTCATTAGATAAATGTGAGGATGGGCAGTAAGAAAGGAAAGAATAAAAAATGACACAGTTTCTAGCCTGAGCACCTGAGTTGCCAGTAATACCAACCTTTGAACCAGACAAGAGATGGAGTAAATATATAGAAGTATATTGAAATTCAGGTGTCGAATTCAGTTTGTTTTCTATCATTTTCCTTTTGATCCAACACCTCTCTAGAGTGAGTGAGCTTTGAAGATTTGAATATTGAAATCCAGTCTCTAATCCCAGCAATCTCTTTATTCTATGGGACTGCTATATTTGAGCAGTATGTTGGCTTATTACAAAAGCTGTCATTGTGATCTTTTGGAGTGTGCTTCTATAGTTTGTCTAACATATGAGAAAGGTTAGTGGTACCAAGTCAAAATACCAAACACTATCAAAACAACTTAATATGGTAGCCAAATGTGGATATGTAGTTTGCACGATTGTATTCCCCAAAACATTGTTTGCTTTAAGCATAGTTGAAAGTAAATGTAAATATACACGTTTTACTCAACACCAATCTTTGTGTGTGCGTGTTTATTGTTTTCATGTGCAGGACAGGAGAGAATTGGAAAAGATTCCAACTATGAACAGGAAGGTAAAGTTCAGTTTGTGATTGATGCAGTCTATGCGATGGCTCATGCCCTCCATCATATGAACAAAGATCTCTGTGCTGACTACCGAGGCGTCTGTCCAGAGATGGAGCAAGCTGGGGGCAAGAAGTTGTTGAAGTATATCCGCAACGTTAATTTTAATGGTGAGTCTCCAAGTATCTATGATTACACACATTCCTGTTAGAAATTGTTTTCCTAAAAGGGGTAGTTAGAGATGGGTGGAAAAAATGGGCAAAGTGGGTAGGAGGCATAAAGGAGAAATACCACTTCTCTGATAATATCTTTGATATAGTATTGACTCTTACAACATTTGAACACTTCAGGTATCAAAAACTAAACAGTTAAAATAAACCTGAATGTGGGTTGCATTAGTCAGAGTTTTCCAGAGAGATAGAACCCATAGGATATATATGGATATTTAGAAGAGATTAATTTACAGGAATTGGCTCAGACAGTTATGGAGAGAGGGAAGTCCCACTACTTTCAGTCTGCAAGCTGGAGAACCAGGGAAGTTGGCATTGTAATTCAGTCCCAGTGTAAACATCTAAGAATTGGAGGGCTTGTGGTGTAAGTCCTGATCTGAGTCCAAAAGCCTGACAATTGGGAGTACCAGTATCTGAGGGCAGAGGAAGGCACCTATTTCAGCTCAAGTAGAGACAGTGAATTGGCCCTTCCTCAGCCTTTCCACTCTACTCAGGCCCTTCAGAGACTGAATGATGCCCCCCAACCTTGGGGAGGGCCACCTGCTTTATTCAGTTTACCAATTAGAATACTAATCTTTTTCAGGTACACCCTCACAGACACACCCAGAAATAATATTTTATTGGCTATCTTGGCATCTCTAGTCAAGGCAACACAGAAAATTAACCATCACATAGGTATAACACAAAATTCAATATAGACAGTAATAAATAAATTTAACTGTATTACAAATGATCAATATAACCATGCTGAGTGGTTTGAGGAATAAAAAACGAGCACAAGTAGTTTTAGAAGACAATTTGACTATATGCTATATAAGACTAAAGACAAAAATAACTGTACACAATTACTGTACAATAGCTAATAAACTTTTGTGGGTTCACAATTATGAAAATAATTTATGTATGTAAGAGGACTCAGAGAATAATGAAGTATATTGTGGATAATGAGAGCCAGGTTTCTTACTGTCAGAGCAAGAAGTTACTCATAAGAATGAGAGAAAACTAGAAGGAAGCTTGTGTTGTGTTTGGATAGGAGATACCTGCATGAACTCATAACTTTGCTTTTTTTTCCCAAGAGTTATTTATTTTGAGAGAGAGAGTGCTTGAGCAAGGTGGGGGGCGATGGGGGGATGCACGGGGCAGAGGGAGAGAATCCTCAAGTAGACTCCCCGCTAAGCATGGAACCCAACATGGGACTCCATCCCAGGAACCTGAGAACATGACCTGAGCTGAAATCAAGTCAGATGCTCAACTGACTGAGCCACCCAGGTACACCAGAACTCATAGCTTTTAATATGCATGCAGATAAATAGATACAGAAATAGATGTCTAGGGCGCCTGGGTGGCTCAGTTGGTTAAGCGACTGCCTTCGGCTCAGGTCATGGTCCTGGAGTCCCGGGATCGAGTCCTGCGTCAGGCTCCCTGCTCAGCAGGGAGTCTGCTTCTCTCTCTGACCCTCCCCCCTCTCATGCTCTCTATCTCATTCTCTCTCTCAAATAAATAAATAAAATCTAAAAAAAAAAAAAAAAAGGAAATAGATGTGTATATGTTACATATGTATACATACCTGTGTTGCCTAGTTCTGGCCACTGAGAGGGCTAGGAGCAATGACACCCTGGTAGAAAAGATGACACCTAGCACCCACATCTTACTTATATATACATTCTCCAGAAAAAAAAAGGAGGGGGCTCTCTAGAATAACTGTAGATTCAAGGGCCAGGGCAGCAAAAATACAAGATGAGTTTGAAGCATCATGTTGTGTCAGAAAGTAAGAGTGCTGAAAAGCTGATGGGGTCATGTTGAAAGAGCCCAAGAGCCAGCTTGAAGGAGACCACACTTGCCAATTTGAGGGCAATAATGAATTAAACTTACAGAATGAAACAAACGTCAATGAGTCCATACTGATATAAATAAATAATTGAATTGAATGCATAAATGCAGAAGAAGTATAATGTAATGACAGATGGCAGTACAAAATCACCATTTTGCAAGGACCCTCTAATAGTTGTTCCAGGCAGTAATCATTAGTGGATACTAAAATTATTGGGATGGGGGCGCCTGGGTGGCTCAGTTAGTTGGGCAACTGCCTTCGGCTCAGGTCATGATCCTGGAGTCCCAGGATCGAGTCCCGCATCGGGCTCCCTGCTCGGCAGGGAGTCTGCTTCTCCCCTGCCCCTCCCCCCTCTCATGTGCTCTCTCTCATTCTCTCTCTCTCAAATAAATAAATAAAATCTTTAAAAAAATAAAATAAAATAAAATTATTGGGATAAAGTATGATCAGAAACAAGGTATCTGCACGGTCTCAAAATACCTTCCATCAAGAAATATTAATAACAAAGGGGAAAAGAATAGCTTGAGAGTGGAGAAACCTGGAAGACAGCACCTTAACCAAATAATCAAGGTTAACATTACCTTTGATACCTTATGAAGGTTACAACATCACTTCTGAGGTCTTATTGCCAAAAATATGTAACCTCAATCTAAAAACAAGGAGGCATCAGACAAATCCAAATTGAAGGATGTTTTCCAGAATAACTGACTGGTACTCTTTAAAACTTTCCAAGTCATGACAGAGACAGAGGAGAAATTATTACAGACTGGAAGAAACTAAGGGGACTTTACTGTTAATGTAATGTGGGAACACTGATTGATTCTATACCAAAGAACATTAATGAGACAATGAAAAAATTTTTAATTATCATTTTATTTTATTCTTTTCATCATGATAGTATACTCTTTAATTCCCATCACCTATTTAACCCATTCCCCCATCACCTCCCTTCTGGTAACCATTACTTGGTTCTATTTCTTGGTTGGGGTCTCTTTTTTTCTTCCTTTGCTCATTTGTTTTGTTTCTTAAATTCCACATGAGTGAAATTATATGGTATTTGTTTCTCTGACTGACTTATTTCACTTAGCCTTATACTCTCTAGATCCATCCATGTCATTGCAAATGGCAAGATTTCATTCTTCTTTATGGCTGAAAAATATTCTATTGTATATACATACCACATCTTTTTAATCCATTTATCAATGAACACATGGGCTACTTCCATAATTTGGCTATTGTAAATAATACTGCTATAGGGCGCCTTGTGGCTCAGTTGGTTAAGCGTTTGCCTTTGGCTCAGGTCATAATCCCGGAGTCCCAGGATTGAGTCCTGCATCGGGCTCCCTGCTCGGCAGGGAATCTGCTTCTCCCTCTGCCCCTCACCCCACTAGTGCTCTCTCTCTCTCTCTCTCTCAGATAAATAAAATAAAATAAATAATGCTGCTATAAACATAGGAGTGCAGGTATCTCTTTGAATTAGTGTTTTTGTATTTTGGGGATAAATACCCAATATTGAGATTACTGGATCATTGGGTAGTTCTATTTTTAATTGTTTGAGGAACCTCCATACTGTTTTACACAATGGCTGCACCAGTTTGCATTCCTACCAACAGTGCAAGAGGGTTCCCTTGTTTTTACATCTTCACCAACACTTATTGTTTCTTGAGTTTTTTATTTTAGCCATCCTGACAGGTGTGAGAAATTTTGATTTGCATTTCCCTGATGATGAGTGATGTTGAGCATGTGTCCGTTTGGCCATCTGTATGTCTTCTTTGGAGAAATGTCTGTTCGTGTCTTCTGCCCACTTTTTAATTGGAATATTTTTAGGGTCTGGAGTTTTATCAGTTCTTTATATATTTTGGATACTAATCCTTTATCGGATGTGTCATTTGCAAATATCTTCTCCCATTCCATAGGTTGCCTTTTAGTTTTATTGATTGTGAGAATTTTTTAAATTGCATATGTTTCAAATAGTATTCTACCAATGTTAATTTCCTGAATTAGATTATTATATTATGGTTTAAAAAATCATCTTCTCTTCTTGTAAATAATAATTCATTTAAGCCCACAATACTGCATTAGTCATTCAGAAGTTACCTTGCAGCTGGACGAAGGGGAACCATATCCAATTTTGGAACTAATAGTTTCTTAGTTAAGATGGAGACAAAAATGATTATATATGAAATCAGAAAAACAGCTTAGCTAAAAATAATCTTTTGTTATAGTTTTTTCCCAATTCTACAGAATCTCCTAAAATATATAATTAAATTCCCCAGAACAAATGCATATAAACTTTATTATTTATCAAACAGTGCTGTTTATCATATGTGTTATGGTCAGTTTGTGGCTTTGCATTCTGGTCTGTGGATATGCATGGCCATCCTTACCCTAGTAACAAAAAAGTTGATTTTGAAAATGTCCTTGGTGACCTTGCCCTGGCTCTTCTTCCAGGTAATGTCTGTAGACTCATTTGGCCAAGATGGTCTTTCCCACTGATGAGCCAGAGTTGCTGAGCTTCTGAGATGGACACAGAGCTCATGATTACTGTGTGCCAGAACCTGTGCTAAGACTTCACTTGTGTTGGCTGGCTTAATATTCAAAACAACAAATTGTTTAGATTCTCTTATTTTCCTTAATTTTTTTATAGATAAGAAAAGTGATTCATAGAGAAATTAAGAACTATAATGTTAAAAGACACATGGATAGTAATAATGCTACATACTTGGTACCTAGGTTCCTAACTCCACAGCCTGCTCCCTTGACTACTATTTAAGTGTCTGAGAAGAAGGGTTTACTGCATCATTCCTGCTGACAGAATGGAGACTTTTTTTTTTTTTTGCATGTTTTAGGGAGTATTTTAATTTTTTTTTTTTTGTCTCAATAATTATGTTCTTATGTTACTTTAGTTTGAAGTTTTTTGTATCCCTGGGAGTTTTGTTCCAGACCAGTATAGTACAATTTAATAATTCTGAAATTTACATTTACCAAAGCATCAATTTAGGAAATAAGAAAATACCCAAAAAGTATTGTTATAGGTTCACCAAGTACTTAACCTCCTTTTATGCACCAAGAGAAAAGGTGGCTAATTTTGTCTTCATCACTTACAGCC